ATAAGTTGTTGGGCTGACTTGTGAGATTCTGTATAAAGATATAGTAGTTAAATTAATTCATTTGGTACAAGACCTATAATAGATTAATGAAGTGAAATATTGTTAGAAAAGGGCTATAGTAATTGTAAAGAGTAGTAATTGATGAGAGAGTTTTGGAGGTATATAAGTTGTGATGATAAAATATTGAGATTATTTAGTGTGAAGTTAGATTGTATATTTGATTTAATTATATCAAAGATTAGTTGTAGATTTGAACAAAATATCAATGTATATTATCATCAGTCTGGTCACAAAAGATATATTGTTTTGTTTTGATGATGTTTGAATAATAAGTATGTAATTAGAATATAATAGGAAGGTTGTTTAAAAGATTTTTAACTCAGAAGGTTTTGGTTCTACTCAGTTTGTAATTAGTGTAGTTAGATGAACATAAAAGATTATTATTAATTATAGTCCAAGTTAAATTCCAGTTAACTTGTTTTGAGAATTGTTTTCAGAGTTGTGCTCTAAATTGTGAGGACTATATGGCAATTATAAAAGCATTGCAGATATTTTTGATGAATTTATGTGTTGGTTGTTTAATGAAAAAGTTTTTCTATTAAAGTATATAGGAATTGTTGAAGTAATTTGTATAATTAAATTCAAAAAATCCTAAAAGTGAGTGGTATGAGGCTAAGTAGTCTGCTATATTGTTAAATTCATTATCACTGTGAGCTTAGACCTTATAAAAAGTGATATTAATATTTTGTAATTTAATAAAATTAAATAAAGTTTTCCAGATTTGCCAATAGTTATATTTTGTTTTGGTGTTATAGTTTTTTGTTTGTTGTTGAGCTTTGTTGAACTTGGATATTACTAATTATAAGTCAGTAAAAATTTGTATGCTGCAGTTTTTTGATATTGTACTTATGGCTGAGAGTATTGCAATCAGTTCTGCTTTGTATGATGAGGGCTATATTTTGATTTGTGCTATGAAGGTTTGAACTATTTGGTTATTGATTATTTGAACTCAGCTAATTTCCATAGAGCATTGGTCTGTGCAAATATTTTGTACTAAACTATCAGTATAAAATATAAACTCTTTTTAGTTCAAATTTTGTAGTGCTATATTGTATAAGAGTTTAGAAATTTCATTAGATTTGAATATTTTGTTTGTATAGTTGGTTTTTAAATTAATATTTAGAAGAGATAGGATAGTTAATAGATGTCTGATTGCTAAATTATAAATTAAGTCTACAATATTAGCATTAAGTTTTAGTCTATTAGAAGAACTACTTGCAAAAGACCTAGTTTAAACTTTAGTACTATGTATAGCTGATACCTTAATAGTATATAAGTTTTTAATACAATTAGAGTTTTGGTTGCAACCTGAACAAGGAGTGTAGTTGGTTTGTGGATTAGAATAGTAGGCTGTATGACTTAGATCATAGTTAATAGTCCAGTAAGTTATTAATATAGAGTTGTTATTTGAAAAGAATTTACAAGCTTTTCCTAAAATAATTTGATTATTTGCAATTGATAGGATTCATAGTTTTTTAGCTTTAAAGTGACCTATGCTTAATAGAAAAGGGTTAGGAGAGTTTAGAGAAACTGATTCAATAATTTCTCTAGTATGTAGATTTGTTGTAATCATTTTTTTAAAAAGAAAAACTATAAGGGCTGCTTTCCTTTAGACAAGTGATAAACTCGTAGAGAGATATGTTGCTATTTAAGAAGAATATTGTTTTCAGAGATTGTGAGTTGATCTAAATACATAATATTCTTCTTTTGAAGTTGTTATTTAAATGTTGAGTAGAGTGAGTATTTGTTTAGTATTTGTTCTAATGAGTATGCATTATGTTGATAGGTTTTTGGCCACTAATAGTTATTATTAGTAGTAATGACTATATTCAGTAGATTAAGAAGTTTAATAATTTTGTAGATAGTTGTATGTTTGTTACATTTATCAATTGTTGGACTTGGATGTTGAAGGAGGCTTATAGTAGACTATAAGTTGTTTTGGACAGGGATGGCATGTCATAATATTGGACATTTGGACAATTTGGACATTTGGACATTTGGACAATGTCCAATTGTTCAAATAATTTAATTGGACATAGTAAATTTTTTTATTGGACATAAAAAAAAAATTAATTTAATTTTGATCTAAATTAAACTTAATTTGGCCATATTTACTAATACAAAATATTCTAATTTATGTTATATACCAATATATATTGTATTGTTTATAATTAGTACCCAAAAATCAAATCTATGATATAAGATAAAGTAGGTAATTCAGTATAGATAAAAAAAGTAGCAGATCAAATTATATTGAAGTTTATATATAATTTATTGATGATGCAAATATAGGAAATTGTATTAAAAATATAATTTAGTTCACAAGAATAATAAGGTTTTAACTCACTGAAAAAATTTATTATAATATTAATTATAATATATAGAACTTATACGATCTGCATTTATTATTAAAAAGAAAAATAAAATAATATAGATAATAGGTTCTATTCAGAAAATTTTAATTTTAAAATATACTTATATAACGTTTTAATTTTAATATGACTGCATCATGCAGCTGTTCTAATTTTATACAATTACTAAATAAAAAAATTACATGAATTTATATGACTTTATATAAAATCTTACAGAAATTTTATATCACTAGTAATACTATACAAAAAAAAAATATTATTATCTATATTATGTTATATAGATATATGGGCCATGAAGTTCATGATAAATATCCAAAAGTTTTAAGCTCGAACTAGCTAGTCTAAATAGGATAAATCCTTATTTTTGTTTTATTATACTAACGCCTGATAGCTAGCTTATTATAATATAAAATTACTAGCTAATACCATACAAATTGATATTTAATTTACTTTAATAAATTTACGAATTTTGGTGATTCTAAATAATTTTCATCAAAAAGGGTCTCTAATTTCCATTTAGCTTTAGATGCGACAGCAGGATGTTCATCTTCAAAACTATGTTCAATCAATTCTTCATCTGAATAATCTAATTCTACTGTCGCTTCTTCATCCTCTATTACAAGAGAATCCCAATTATTTACAGTTTCTTGCCATTCATTAACTGAGTTAATTTTGCCATTTTTTTCAAATTGTTCAATATCATCTAATTCCGTATTCTCATCTTCTGATACTTGAGATATCTCATCTAGAATAATCAAAAAAAAAGTTTTTTAAATTGTTTTAAAAATCTCTTATTCTTACAAAATGCGTAATCATTTGTAATTATTAATTATTGTTGCAGATCATAATGAAATAGGATTAAAATAAAATGTAGATTTCAATTTAACTCTTAAAACCTACTTATACTTGTTTAATATAAAGTCTACTCTAAAATTAGACTTTAACCTTAACCCCTAACTTTAAAAATGCTCTTAAAAAATTTTTTTCGATAGATATACATATTTTATTTTAATCTAATTTCATTTTAATCTATTACAATTATTAATTATATATATTTATATTACTTAATATTTTTTAAAATAAAAAAACAACTTGTTAAAATAATAAAAAACTTCATATCTTAAATACTTACCATCCTTATTCTTAGATAGTGTTGCATGAGTTGCAACTCGTGTTTGGATAAACTTTTTTTTAGATTCATTAATTTCTTCTATTCGGCGTGAATATATTAGATCACTACGTATTTGACACATTGCTACTACCTTTTCAGGCTAAAAATTTAAATCAAATACTAGTATTTAATAAATACTGTAGTGAATATTTGTTTATATAAAATTAGGTATACCTTTAATTGGTTTCTTCGAAAGTTATGTAACCAGCCCATTGTAGAAAATAAACGTTCGATAGATGCTGAGCTAATACAAATTGAAAAAATACGTTGTGCAATAAGATGTAACTCTTCAGTAAATCCACTAACAAAATTCCAAAAAGAAAGAATATCATCATTTTTTCCAAACTGTTGATAATCTTCATCTCGAAATGGATATAATCTCTCTCAATACTGCTGTAATTCGTTTAATATACTTTTTGCTTCACATCCAAACCAAGCTTTATGATAGTATAATAACCATTGACCAAAATGAGGAAAAGACAGATTACGAATTTGCTTATTAAACATATTGTCACGATATTTAGGATGAAGTAAGAAGCTTAATAGTAATAGTGGTTGTTCCCATATATTCCATCGACGTTCTAAATGTAATAAAAGATTAGTCTGAAGTTTATTATCAGAAAGTTTTTTAATTACTTGAACAATCTATCCGAAACTGTGTAAGACATCATGAAGTCTAGCATGATCACATTGCAATTTGTTTAATGCTGCACAATAGAGTAAAAGAAGCAATTCAAGTTGTTGTAAATCAGACCACCAAGAGTTATCAAGAAGATTTGTAAGAATATCTTCAGGAAAATTAATTAAACTAGTATCTAAGCCTTCTTCAATTTTGTATGCGAGATTCTAATTTAAAAAGTAATTTTAATAATTAAGTTAATAATTTTACAAGAGATTCGAAAAAAGTAGACAAATAATTTTAATTCGAGATATGTTCTATATTTGCATAAAATAATGCCTATAGGCATTATTTCATGCAAATATAGTATATATTAAGTTAGAATAATTTAATTAATTAATATATAAGATTTGCGGAATTGGTTTTGAATTGTATCTCTTCATAATACTCCAAATTTTGATGCTAAGTTTTTTTATTATAATGAGTAAATAGATACATTATATATAATATAATATGTATTAAATTATTTATTAACAAAATCAAATTAATTGTTTGTCGCTAAATTTGGAGTATTGCAGAAGATAAAATTTTGAATCAACCCAGGACTAATTCCTCAAATCTACTAATATAATTTATTTTATTAATTGAACTTACTTTGAGAGCTGTACGAGTTTTAATAATACTTGAAAAGCAATAGTAATGACTATTCCAACGGGTAGCATTTGGCGACATAAGAGATATATACTTATTGCCATATGTTAAAATTTGTTCATCTCTAAGTCGTCCCAAAAAAAATGTAGACCGATTAAAAAATGATACAAGATTAATCGCTTCTTCTGCAACAATTTTAATATCTGATGAATATCGAAATATGTCACCAACAGCCAGATTCATTTGATGTGCGAAACAAGGTATAAAAATCTTATCAAGATAGGAATTTCTAAGACGTGATCGTGCTGCCATAAATTCAGGAGCAGAATCAGTTACAAGACAATTAACTTTTATATCATTATCCTCAAATTTGCTAAAAAGATCATTAGTAATTTCTACAATCTCAGGCCATCTAATTCGTTTTCCTAAAAGATCTTCTACACCCCAAATAGATATTTTACCTTTTGAATTAATTAATGCTATTCCTAATAAACTTTCTTTTTTAATATTTTTCCAACCGTCATAAGTTAACATAGCACCAAGTTTATCTATTTGCATGTCTTTTTTTTGTAGTTCTATAATGTTGTTAGCAGCATAGGTTAAAATTCGACCTGAAAGTGTACGACGTTTTGGTAACTCAATAGCAGGATTTATATAATGAAATAGTTTTTTCATTTCGGGATCATCAACCCAAGTAAAAGCAATACCACATGAAATAGTTGCTCTTAAAATTTGTTGTTCTAATTTTTCTTTTTGCTTATCTGAAAGTGGCTTTGCAAAATAATTATCTAATGACAAGTCATTATTTAGGCCTAATCGAACTCGTTTACCTGAACTACCTCTACTAGAATTAGTTGAAGAAATTTCTAAAGCAGTTTCACTAGCTAAAATTTAATTTAAGTAAGTACATATATTACAGTATTTTAATCTAATAGAATTATAGTAAATATAAATTATACTTTCCAACACTTAATTCACTTTCTTGTAAATTATTCTCTAATATTGGGTTTAAAATATTATTACGCTCTGCTTCACTAGGATACTTTTCTATAAAATATTTACAAGAGTCAAGGTGGCGCCTGCATTCTCGTTGGGTATTAGTTATTCGATTTTTAAGAGCATCATCATATGTAGAGCCGTCAATGCAGAATTTACAAACAGCAAACTTATTACTTTTGTTTGCTTTTTCATTCAAAATAATAAAAAAGTCTGTTAGGATATGCTGTTTTCTACCCATTGTGAAAGCAGTGAGTTGATGTTGAAAAAGAAGCTACGTTATTTATATAAAACTATAATTTAATATTTTTAATATTGAATTCAAAAAAAAAATAATCGCAACAATACATGTCACGATTATAGTTTTAGTATAAAAAAAACAGTCAAAAAAAAAAAAACTAAATTTTTATTGCAATGAAATATATTCATCACAAATCAAATATTTTCATTTTTCCATAGTAAGGTTAATTGCTTTGTTTCTTTGAGTTACAAAATATCATTTGAGTCTAGTTTACAAGACAATCGTTAAAGGTGTGTTTACTATAAAAAACTTTAGTATTGTTTGTTCAAAAAAAGCATTTATAAAAGCATTTACAGACTAACAAAGACTTACTCTCACAAATTTACCTTTTTATATTTACAAATTCTCTTTTCGTTATTATACAATAGAGTTTCCAAATTTACATTATCTCAGAGATTTTGTATTGTTCAAATTCCTGAAATCGCTTAAATCTGACGAAATTAGAAAATAACTGCAATTACGCCCTGCATGAACAATTGGACTTGCATTCGTACATGCATGCTGTTGTGGATTTAGAATACCCTAACCTTAATAATTCCGGATAAACTTAAATTTCAGTTTCACTTGCATACCGTACGGTGGATTTACTAATTTCTCTCCAAAGTTGGATTTATCACCAAATCTCGACATCCAAAATCCGAACATCCAAAATCCCAACAACAAAATCCCAACATCCAAAATCC